GGTGCCCAGGTCAGAGCGCCCCTGCCTGACCTCGACTGGCCTCCCTCCTCCCTGCTGGGGCCCCTCTCCGGACTCAGGAGGCGGCTTCCCCTGTGAGCCCCCTGCCAGGCGGGGGGCAACCTCTCCTGGCCCAGGCCCCACACTGGCTCCCGTGCTGCCCCGCACTCAGCAGCCACCACGCTCAGTGGAGCGCGAGGAGTGTCTGAGGCCCTAGGGCCAGTGGTCGGCAAACTCATTAGTCAACAGAGCCAAATATCAACAGAACAACGACTGAAATTTCTTCTGAGAGCCAAATTTTTTAAACTATATAGGTAGGTACATTGTTATTAACTTCATTAGGGCCTAAGCCGGCCTTTGCTAAAAACGTCCTCAATCTGATTGAGGTACATTCACTGAGGTCGACCCCTTCCAACTCTCCCATCCACACCCGTCTCGTATACTTGTTTCAGATAGAAGAGTGTACCTCAAAACAATGTACCTCCCCTGCGCTGCGTCTCTCGTCGACCGACCCACTGACGGACCAACAACCCCCACTTCTAACGCCACTTCTTCAAAATAGACACGCCCAGGCCGAAAACCGACTTCTGCGCATGGGCCACGAAGTTTCAATCGCACTGTACGCGCACGCCTGCACGTGGTATTTTGTGGAAGAGCCACACTCAAGGGGCCAAAGAGCTGCACGTGGCTCGCGAGCTGCGGTTTGCCGACCACTGCCCTCGACCAACAACCCCTACTTCTAACGCCACTTCTTCAACATAGACGCGCCCAGGCCGAAAACCGACTTCTGCGCATGGGCCACGAAGTTTCAATCGCACTGTACGCGCACGCCTGCACGTGGTATTTTGTGGAAGAGCCACACTCAAGGGGCCAAAGAGCTGCACGTGGCTCGCGAGCTGCGGTTTGCCGACCACTGCCCTAGGGGATGAGCGGGGACAGGACGGTGGGCACAATGTCCCCATTTCAAGGACTCGGAGCTGAAGGACAGCCTCAGGGAGCCCTGCAGTGGGTGGAGGAGTGGCTTCTGTCTGTCTGTCTGTCTCCCTGTGTAGGCCTCTGGCTTTGCCATGTGCTGTGCCCGGAGGCCAATCAAGTCTTCACTGCTCAGCCCTGGCTCCCCCCACCCTGCCTGCTGCCGGCTCCTGAGGGACCCCCTGTTCCCAACTTTTGCTTCCACAGCCTCCTTGGGACCTGCCTTCTGGAAGCGCCCTCACACCTCAGCCTTTTGGCCGAGCTGTCCTGGGGCCCTGGCCTGTCCCGCTGACCTCCCTCCCACGAGGCACGTGGTCGTTGGCTGGGTCTGAGGCCCACGCACCCCGCCCGCAGGCCACATGGCCCCCAGCTGGGCGATCACAGGCCTGCTGTCCAGCCCTGGCTATCGGGGTGTGCCTACCGCCCTCCAGGAAGGGCAGTGCGCACCCCAGCAGGGAGAGGTGATGGATGTCACTGCCCTGCTCCTTTCAATGGCTGAGACCACAGACTGCTCTGCTGTAACTTCCTGTGGGGGCAGGGCCTTCCCACCCAGGCTGCGCCAGTCACCAGCCTGTGAGGGCTTCCGCCTGGGGAGGAGGTGTGGGAGCGGAGCCCCCAGGGTGACCCTCCCTCAGCCCAGGCGAGGCCCCTGGAAGTGGAGGAATGGAGGATGTGGCCCGGCCTGCTCCTCGGGGACTTAGCAGAACCAGCTGGAGTGGGAGGGAGCGAGGGAGGGAAGACAGTGGGAGAGGGGAAGTGGGGGAAATGTCTTTTTTGGAACCAAATGATTAAGCTGGTGCCTGAGTCACTGTGACACCGTTATCTGTCGAGGGCCGTGCAGCGGGGACGCAGGGGAGCCACCCGCGGTGCTGAGGTCAGCGCAGGGCGGGCACTCACTGATCTCCTCCACGATCTTCAGGAGCACCCCGCCGATGTGCGACTCCCCCGTGACCCGGAGGGTGACCGACTCAGCCTCGGGATCCTCCTCTCCCACAAACACCCGCAGCTCCCAGGACGAGTCGATGTAGTCCCCGGTGGCCGTCTTCATGCCCGCCATGGCTGCGGTGGCTCTACAGCGGGTGGGGAGGAAGCAAAGTGGGCAAGGCGCTGGGCCTGGTAGGCTGCCTGGGTTCAAGTTGAAGAGGCCCCACGGTGCCCTGGACAGGTGTGTGTGTGTGTGTGTGTGTGTGTATGTGTGTGTGTGTGGGTAACCCGCAGGCCCGTACACCATGGCAACGGCGAGACACGGAGCGCTGAGTTGTTCCAGGCAAACCTCAGACCTTCTCGCCATCACCATGGTTAAGCTGCAAGGACCCTCGGAGACCATGTTGTCCAACCCACTCCCATCTTACAGATGGGAAGATGGAGGCCCAGTAAAGAGTAAGAAGGGGCTCACTCAAGATGGCAGAGCTGGCACAACCTCCATCTGCTTTCCCAGTTCACACTCACCCCAAGCCCACACGGGCAAGCTGCCACCCTGGAGATGGTTGGAAACCCAGGTCAGAGAATAATTCCAGTCCTGGCCCGAAGGTGAGATCCGAACATCCCAGCCCAGCCCACCTCCCGGAAAGTGAGGGCTGCGGCCTGGAGAAGGCCATGGGCCGGGGCTGGGCAGGAGGGCGGGGAGGAGGACGGCGGGTGGGGGGGTGGTGGGGGAGGGAGGAGAGGGGGCCATCCTGCCTTGTCTGCAAGGGGCTGGGGCTGCAGGCGGAGCGTTGGAGTGTGAGCCAGCCCTGGCCTCAGCCCGCACACCTGCCGGCGACTGGGTGCCTCCTTCTCCTCGCTTTCTCTTTGGCGCTTCCTTCAGAGGGCAGCCCTGGCCTCTTCGCAGGGCGGGCTCAGCCCCTCCCCAGGGCGGGCTGGCGGCTCTGGGTTCAGGAAGCAAACTGCCAGCCACTGCTGAGGGCTACAGGGTGGCCCCGCCTTGGCTCCGAGTGAGCACAGGAAGCGAGCGAGGAGCGAGGCTGGTGGACCCAACGCCGCAAAAGGGTCCCCTCACGGGGAGGGTTGCTCTGTTCTAGAGAAGCCATCCATTTGTGCTCATGGCCAGGCCCCTGCTGGAAGGGCCCAGCTTGTCCTGCCTGCAAGGGGCTGGGGCTGCAGGTGGGGGGTTGGCCTGTGACCTAGTCCTGCCTCAGCCCGAACACCTGCTGGCAAGTGGGTGCCTCCTTCTCCACCCCCTTCTCTGTGGCGCTTCCTTCAGAGGGCAGCCGTCAGGGGGCGGGTGCCATGGAGAGGCATGGAAGTGAAAGGATTGGATCCAGGTTTAGGGCTTGGCGGGTCAAGTCAGCCCAAGACTCAATGTCCCTTATCACCACAAGGGCACTGGAAGAAGGCCTGGGGGAAAACAACGTCCTTGTCTTTCCTGTCCCCAGGAAGGGTCAGAGCTGCTCTGGGAAACAGCTGAACAGACTGGCCCATCATTCACATCCTCCCTGCCCCAGGTGCTCCCCTCCCACCCCAGTTCCCGGAGGCTCACTCCCCTCAAGCTCCTCCCCAAAGGTGACCTCAGGGTCCCTGAAGCCCAACCTCTTCCCACCCAGCCTTGCACTGGGATGGGAGCTTTGGGAGAGCCGAGCTGTGCTGCTAGAACTTGGCCTCTCCAGCTTAGGGCTGGAGGGAACTGAACCTGCGGAGATAGTAGCACCGAAGATGCAGACTCCCTGAGGACAGGCGTTCTGGCGGGACTCCCAGGGGAAAGCCATTTTATGCAAAGTCAAGGCAGTAGGAAGTACAGCCAGCTGCTGGCCTCAGCTGTTCCTAGCCCAGAAAGCTGCTCTTGGAGCAAAAGAGGAAGTTTTACTCCTGCCCCAGAAGCAGTCTCAGTCCAAGAGATGTTTAAAAATAGTCTGTTGTGACCATGGACAAGTGAACTAAAACCTACTACTTTAAGCCCAGTTGAGAGCAGTGAGCTATTTTTTAAACATATATTTTTATTGATTTCAGAGAGAGAGAGGGAGAGCTAGAAACATCCATGATGAGAGAATCTTTGATTGGCTGCCTCCTGCACACCCCCTACTGGGAATCAAGCCCCACCTGGGCATGTGACCTGATCGGGAATTGAACTGGGACCTCCTGGTTTACAGGTTGATGCTCAACCACTGAGCCACGCCAGCTGGACTCACCATTGATGTTTCTATCTCTCCCTTCCGCTCTCTAAAGTCAATACAAACATAAAAAACAAAACCTAAAACTAACATGTAGCTTCTGACACACCTGTTCTCCCCAAACAAGTCCAAGCAAGTCTCGCAATGGAGGTAGTTTTGGTTCGCGGGTGGAAGAGTGTTGTCTGGACCTGGCCACCGAGTAGGGTGACTCCAAGCTCCCTTTCAGCTGTTCACTGAGTGACAGCACCACCTAGTGACCAGCTCGGCAAAGCAGTGGGACCAAGGCAAGCTCACACTGACCCACGTTAGAAAAAGGCCCTGGTCCTGTCATCAATTCACACACGTCTCCCCATCCAGGTTGACGCCGGAGGACAGCCACTTAAAGACTTTTGTTTTTATTTAATGATTGATTTTTAAAGATGTTGATTTGTTGTTCCACTTATTTATTCATTCATTGGTTCTATTTTTTTTAAACACATTTTTGATTTCAGAGAAAGAGGGAGAAACATCAATGATGAGAATCACTGATCGGCTGCCTCCTGCACGCCCCCTACTGGGGATTGATCCCACAACCTGGGCATGTGATTTTGACTAGAATTGAAGTTGGGACCCTTCAGTCCGCAGGTTGACACTATCCAGAGCCAAACCGGCCAGGGCTCATTGGTTGATTCTTGTATGTGCCCTGACCAAGGATCAAACTCGCCACCCCGGTCCATCAGGACGATGCTCTCACCAACTGAGCTGCCTGGCCAGGGCCCACTGGGAAGTCTTTTGGCAGAAAAATTACTCCAGGACATCACAAGGCATAACCACGCCTGACTGGCTTGTTTTATTGGAGAAGGGGACTCGGGGTTAACAATGTGAAGACAGCTGGGACCTGAGGTTGGGAAAAATACCCTCCCTTCCCCATTCATGCCCACTGCCCCAAATAAAAAATAACCAACTATGGGAGGGCAGCTGAGACAGCGACTGGGGACAGGGAACAGACATGGAACTCAAGGGCAGCGGAAGAGACCATGCATGTGCTGGGAGGTCCCAGAGGCAGCGGCTATAGAGTAACGTGGGTACAAGTCTCTGTATCTTCCGCACAGGTCTGTATAAATATATAGAGATAAGATGTTTGCTTTCCCCCTTCTCTCCCTTCTGCTCCGTGCTGCTTGCTGCGGTCCTAGCTCCTCTTTCCACACGAGGACAGAGGGAAGAGGGATGATGAGCAAGTCATCACCGAATGGCGATCAGACCCACATCCATCAGCTTCTGGATCTTCTGTGCGATCACAGGATTCTTTAAGTGTCTAATGAAGAAGAGACAAAGCTTGAAATGAGACTTAACATAAGAGAAGTCTTACTTGTTCTTGGAGCAAGCCCCAGTGCACACCCCTTAGAAGGTATCGACCGGAGGTTCTGGCAGGAGAACTGCAGAGGCCTTCACTGCTTGCTATGCAGTCAGAACGTGGCCAGTCCCACTTTATGGGGACAGCTTTAAATGGAGACCATTCTCCCAGCAGAATTGGTCTTTCCAATGAACTATTTAAGCTACCATGACTAACAAGAAGAGGAAGCCCTTCCAGTCCACCTTTAAACTGCCAACCTTTAAAATTTCAAGTAAGAATCACACAATAAATACTCCAACCAGGCTGATCCCATGTGTCCCCAACCTCACGCACGGCCACTGGTTTATCCTTCAAGGCCATCTCCCCAACTCCACTCACTCGCTAAGTGCCTGAGGGTCCTTCTGCATCTGTTCCAGGATGAGCCGCATGGCTGGGTCACTCATGATCTGCTGCACCTCAGGGTCGGCCATGGCCCGTCGCTTCACATCTTCGGGGCTGTCGTGTCGGTTGTACTGGGCCATCATACAGCGTTGGTAACCATCTGCTGCCTCCTGCATTCCAGCAAAGCCAAAGGGGGAGGGTGTTAGCACAACCTACCTCACTGCTTCAGTAGGTAACTGAGAAGGGCTGAGACACACACACACACAATCAGGCGAGAGGCAAGGATCAGTGAATGACCACGGAAAGACCCGAAGGAGAAGCGGGGGCAGGGGAGAGCTTCCTGGAAGCCAGAAGCAGCCCACCTTACAGTTGGAGTCCAGCTCTAGTGCCTTCTGGTAGACATCCATCGCTTTTGTGTAATCCTTCATTGCTTCTAGGGCAGCTGCCTTCCGTGTATAACCCTTGACTGCAGACAGAAATGGGAAAGGTGAGGCCTTACCCAAAATGCAGCTCCCAGGGCTGCTTCTCTCAGCCCTTCAAGAGCGCCAATGCCCCTCACGCCCTGATGCTAGCTGCGAGGACACCCAGGCATGTTCTCGCCTTTCAATCTTTTGACCAGGATAAAGGGATGGGAAGAGGCAGCATAAAGGCACTTACTGAAGGATGGCTCTAGCTGGATACATTCCTCACAGTCCTAGGAAGAAGAGGCAAAAGGAATTAGGCTCACTCCTTTCATGAGCTACTTTAAGTCAGACTGCTCCTTTGGAATGACAAACTGGTCCATCACTCAGAGCCCTTACAAAGGATTCTACTTTTGCTTCTAGTGCTCCTGTCAATCCTGGCATCTGGGTGGATTTAACAGCAGCCACAGCAGAAGGAAGGCAGAGGAGTGAGTTAAGCAACACCACAAGGAACAACAAGTCCACGTTAGGGAGCATCCCATCCAAGTGGCCTGGACTTTTCAAAAGGCTGATGACTAAGCGTGCACGCACGCACACACACACACACACACAGCCCTGGCCGTTTGAGTGGTTAGAATGTCAGACGTGCACCGAAGGGTCACGAGTTCGAGTCCTAGTCAAGGACATGTATCTGGGTGGCAGGTTCACTCCCTGGTCCTGGTCGGGATATGTGTGGGAGGCAGCCAATCAATGTGTCTCTCTCACATCGCTGTTTATCTCTGCCTCTCCCCACCCCCTCCCCTCCACTCTCTCTAAAAATCAATGGGTCCGGCCAGTGTGGCTCATTAGTTGAGCGTTGACCTATGAACCAGGAGGTCACAGTTTGATTCCCAGTCAGGGCACATGCCCAGGTTGCAGGCTTGATCCCCAGTGTGCGATGTGCAGGAGGCAGCCAATCAATGATTCTCTCTCATCATTGATGTTTCTATCTCTCTAGCCCCTCCCTTCTCTGAAATCAATAAAAATAAAAAAATAAAATCAATGGAAAAAATATCCTCTGGTGAGGATTAACAAAGCAAAACAAAACAAACACAAAAACAAACAAACACACACACACAAAAAGAAACAAAAAGCCAAAAGGTGGGGAAGCTTCCAGTTTGAGAAACTAAACAACATGACAACCACATGAAAAGCATGGGCTTTAGAAACTAAAACTTTAAAACATATTTTCAGACAAATAGAGAAATCTGAATATAGACACAGAGCAGATGACACTGCAGCCTTAGTTTTGTCATCATCAGGTGCCAGACAGTTAGGGGCGACCAGGCCAGCAGGGGGGCAGTTAGGAGGTGATCAGGCAGGCTACCAGGTAACAGACAGGCAAGTGGTTAGGAGCCAGTGGTCCCGGATTTCGAGAGGGATGCCCAGCTGCTGGTTTAGGCCCCATCCCGAAGGAATCAGGCCTAAATAGGCAGTTGGACATCCCCTGAAGGGAACCAGATTGGAGAGGGTGCAGGCTGGGCTGAGGGACAGCCCCCCCACCCCCCCGCACGATTTTGTGCACCGGGCCTCTAGTTGTTGAACATAGGTGAAGAATACACAAGTATTCTGTGTATTTTTGTTTGAAATGTACAAAATACAAAATTATGTAAAATAAGAATGTGCTACACAGTGTAGTTTTCACAGCTAGGTTTAATTCCTCCTCTTCCACCAAGAAACTTTAAGACCAGAAGTAAATCCATTCATTCTTTCCTTCCGTTTGCATGAGTGGGAAAGTACTACTGCTCCACCTCACAGGTGACTGATGTCTCTAGGCCACAGACCCAG